ATAATAATAATAATAATAATAATAATAATAATAATAATAATAATAATAATCATAATCATAATCATAATCATAATAATAATAACGACCTACCACAAAATCAAATAATCAAGCATGCTATGAATAATAGCCTAAGGGCTGAAATATTTTGACCTCTCTTTTTCACCCTTACAATGACAATAGGTTACTTGTCACTCATTTTTTGGCCTTGGGTATGAAGCTGTGCTATCTTTCAATAGAGATCTCAGGCTCTGTATATTTGGCCTTGCCAATTTCAGCCAGCTTGCGGAAACTTAGCTTGTATAGAATAGTGTAATGATCCTTTAGAGAAAAAAAAAGAGGTTTGGTTATGCCAATGGCATATTGGCCCAAATGTGTCTGTTTGATCAGTAATGTCTTTATGATTAGCAGGGAATGCTGCATGGGGTATGAGTATGTCTAAGACTGGCAACATATCATTTACTGCAAGGGTTCGCAACCCTCGAGCCATGGCCCACTACCGGGCTATGGTCTATTCGCAACCGGGATGTGGGCCAGCACACACCCAGCTCAACTAACACATGCGATGGGCTGACACACACACAGCAGAGGTAGTATTCAGCAGGTTCTGACCAGTTCTGGAAAACCAGTAGTGGAAATTTTGAGTAGTTCAGAGAACCAGCCAATACCACCTCTGACTGGAGATTTTAAAATATCCTTCCCCTGCCACGCCTACCAAGCCACGCCCACAGAACCAGTAGTAAAAAAAATTGAATCCCACCATTGACACGCAGGTATGCGCAGCTCAACTGTGCAAACAACAGGCTGGCTCACACAAGCATGGGCACCCAACTCAACTTTCAGTAGAGCTATGTGTCTATATGCACCAGCCTGCTGCTCGCATGGCCCGCCAGGCCACTAAGCCTCAAAGATTGGTGATCACTGCTTTACTCTCTTACTAAAAAACAACAACATATATGCCTCTATTGATCAAAGTTATGATAGGTGGCAGAGATAAATAACTGTGGTCCTGTCTAGTGATGACCATATCACACAGAAATTTCTGACTGGTATAAGAGTAAATAAACACACAATGAAAAGAAGAAAAATAGACACATGTTGTGTCTGTGAAATGAAAAGGAAAAGATTTCAATGAAGGCATTCTGATCTTATGGAGGGGAGTTCATGAGTATAGTTCAGAAAAATGACAATTGAAATCTAGGTTGTTGTGGGTACATAACAAAAATATGTTGTGGGTACAGTCGGAAAGTAGGAATCTGTAAGCTGATCAGCATTGAATGGATACTGCTAACAGAAAAAGTAGAAATGAACCTTGGGAACAATTGTGCAGTATTCTGAATGAACGCAGCAAAAGGAAAAAAAAATATTCTGCTGATGACATGAATGAATGAGTAGGAACAAAGTGAGATTGCAGAAAAAGTGATTCAGCCTTTCAGAGACTGAAGAACTGAATGAGACTGGTGTCCTAGCATATATTTAGAAAAGGTTTTCAAAACAATTAGAGAAAAAAGGGCTTGGACTTGAGTCTAGGAGTGGCTTTACACATCATCCCAGCTATACATTTTCTTACTTTTATTTGTTGTCACCACTGTAGCTCTCTCCAAACCAAAAATGGTTGTTTAAGATTTTGTTTATTTTATTATCATATTATCTTAATTCTGAATGATAAATCATCATCCTCTTTCACAATAAATAGGGATGTTCAATCAAGTTCAGTGTAAGAAGAGATCCATAGAAATGAAAGTTGGAGTCCTGAAATTGGCTATCACCCATTATCATCTTGAAATAGACTGAGCAATTAATTTTAAAGTCATTACATTGGGAATAATTTTATTGAAATTAGGATAATCACTGCCAAATTTGCATCTATAAATATAAATATACAGTCTACCTAAATTAATATATTGTATATAAAATCCACCACTTGGAACACTCCTTCTCTGCTTTTCTAATGATGTATTAAGTAGCTCCCCCCTCTTCAACATCAGGCTCTCTTTTCTTCCTTCAAGCATGTGTTACATTCACTTAGCTCCTAGGAAGGTCGTGTTATGGCTTGTATGATTGATTATATTCTCAGCCCTTATTAAGTCTGCAGATTGGCAGTCCAGAAGGAAAGCAATGGAATCAAAAGGAGAAACACTTGGAGCCAGTAGGATCTATCTGTGCACCATAGTTTGTGACTGAGCAGCTGCTGTGTTGCCTTTTTTTCTGTCAAAACAGGATTATGTTAACAAATCTCTCTCTCTCTCTCCTCTCCTTCAACCTTCCAACACCTGCATTTGCGAAATTGCAAAGTGTATGAGAGAACTGAATTGGTTCAATCAGTACAGAGAATGCAGGTCAGATTGAGGCGTAGTTGGCCCAGACCTGCTTACTCTGCAGTAATCCTCAATGATTTCAAAGGGGTTTACATATTTCAGTGCCATATGTGTGGGATTACACTGTGAATATTTTTACTTAAACATATCTGTTGCTGTTTCCCCAGGGGGCTCTGTGCAACATTTTAAAAAAAAATCCATAGAATTTGTCTTTTAGCAGCCTTAACTAGTTTGAGAAAGTGACTGGGAGTATGAGGGAGGTTTTCACTATTTAATTCTTTTTAGTCAGAACTACCAGATTTGAAGTTTCAAAAATCCAGATAAGCATTTTCTGTCATGCTTAGCACCTTTTTATCTTTTCTTGATTTTATTGTAATCTCTTTATTTGAGACTTTATTTGAATCAATGATTCAAGATAGAATGAAGCAATAAAATTGAGGCCTGGGAGAAGAACCAGGTCTTTACAGTTCTTCTAAACAACCACATAGTGGGCCCCATCAGTGTGAACTTCATTCTGGAGTATAGGCAGTACTATAGAAAAGGTATGTTTCTTGGAATCTGACAGATAACATTGAAAATTGGATGGCATACAAGTTTCAGATGATTATTGTTATCACACTCATTGCATGATTCAGCTAAAAGGCTCTGATTCACTTTCTGTTCTGAAATAATATCATATCAAATCTTTATTACTGTCAAAGACCACATAGAAATAATAATATACACTTATAGGCATAAAGAACATGATACATATTTGACTACTCTGCACGTGTTATGTGTAAACTCCCACACAATTCTACTTTACAAATGTAAATTTCCTTGCATCTTTCTCCTCCCCATAAACTATGCAGGCTGTTTCTCCTAGAGCTAATATTTGCATACTGGTCCTGGCCATTCCTAGAAATTTTGGCACACTTAAATCCAGATGGTTCAAGGTGTCACACCAGCGATTGTTTAAATCTAGCAGAACAACACAGGGTGGAAGGCCAGAGGTCTGATGACACCATTCTCCAACACACACACACACACCAGTAAACCTTGACATAGATCATTGCCTTGGCACAAATCATCTTACTCCCATGTCATTTTTAAGAGGGTTGAATTTACTGCAGTTTCTCAAAGGTGCTATACAACTGTCTAAACCAATGGCATTGCTGAAAAACTTGCACATAAGATATTGCCATAATCATCACTGGTACTGGTATTCTTCTTCTTCAACTTCATCTCCTTCTTTATCATCATAAATATATATCATTGTTATCATCATCCAGAATCAGAAAATGATCTGCTATCATCAATATATCCAGAGGGTCCCTCTTTGAAGTGAAAGAAAAAAGAAAAACAGCTTGTTGGTAAAGGGGCAAATAAAAAGCCCAGATAATTTGTTTGCAAGAGACAGATAGAAAAATCAGATAAAAGCCCAACAGAACAGATGCTCTGAGAAGATTAGAAGCACAGAGATTAGTGGCCCCATTGCAAAAAAATAATAATCATCACCATTAGCTGCAGTTTTGAGCTTCTAGAATAATCAGACATAAGAACTGTTGTCCCACTCTCTCAACATCTTTACTCCAAGTACTTAATGTTCCATGTTCCTACTGTTGTTCCTTGTTTTCCACTACGGTTGTTTTAGAAAGATCAAGTTGAAGGATTTGCAACCACAAAGCAGGATCAGCTTTGTTTCCCAGATTTAAGGCTAATTCACACATTTTAACAAAAATGTTGTTAAAGGTTTCAGCACTTCTAGGTCTTCCTTGGTTGATGTCTCTATAAACTATGTCCTCAGGTAAAAGGAAGATCCTATCATTGATTTCTAGCAGCGGTAACTTTAGCTGAAATCTATGATTATGATCTTCCCATATTTTCCACACAGCTGCAAAGAAAGTGGGTACCATGTACATTTTCTAAGTATATGTGTATACAAACTGTAATCAATTCCAAATTTAAGTTCTGACCTTGTGGTTAGGAATCTCTAGAAAAATAAATGAATAAATTTATCCAAAAAGGCAAAGTAATACAGATTACTATACAAATATATAAACTTCAATGAAACAATCATTAAAATTAATCAAAATACATGGAGGGAAACTCCGCAGAGAATTCAAACACAATTAATTTTAGATACTGTTTTAAACTTCTATACGAAAGTCAAAATTTGTGACTTAACATTCATACCTATTTGAGTGGCTTATCAGTAATTTAAGAGCATGTTTAACTCACCTGCTACTGACCAAATTGCATTTAATATTTACAGCTAGGATTCTTGTTTCTAATTGTGATCTGCCCCATTTTCTGAATCTATTCTCTTCAATATAATATCAAATTATTTATTAAAACACTTTTTTCATTAGATAGTCAGACAGACAAGTTACAAGATATGGACAACAACTTTGTATATTTATTCAGTTGCAAATAAATGGGATAATTTGATTACAATCTTTTATTTGTATAAAATAACTGGCTTGCCTCTAAAATTCATATGCAACACATCTATATAGGATCAACTTGAATTTCATTGAATATGGTACATAAATCTCAATTCTGAAGCTGCTGAAATTCCGAGCTAATTATCTGAGACTTTCATCTTCAAATGATACTTCAGACCCACTTTTCAATAAGTAAGATCGCAGTACATCAGGTATGCTTAGCTAAATCTTGAAATGACCTTCTCACAAGATTATTATTAACTTTAACTGGCTTCTATGAACCTGGAAGCTGCTCAATACATGCATGTAGGATACAGGGAGTCCTCCTCATAAATACTAAGCCTAGTTCACAGCATCCATCCTGGATTCTTTGCAAAGAAGAGCTATGATTAAGCCAAGGAGTGAAATCTAAGCATAATGATCAAAAACAAAAAAAAGGCAAATTTGTCAGATGAATAAGGGCACGTCCACAACAATAAAAAGTCCCTTCTTGAGAGCCATGTCTCAATTTACAGAGAGAAAGCAAACCAATAGCTTTAAGATAATTACAAATCTCCTTTGTACTGAAAGTTATATATAATTTCCATTAGAAAGAAATAAGTCTCTCCATGCTGTATAATCAGTTTTACATGTGGAAACAAAGATCTGTGGCAAAAATTCCACAATTGGATTGTATCACACAGATTAATACAGGGGTATTATTTAAATTAGGTAACAACAGATCCTAATATTAGTCAAGGGAGGAGTTTATGTTGGAGATGGGTCTTCCCCCTTTTTTGATTTTGGTGATTATAGTAAAAAAAAATTATTATTGTTGTTATTATTATTATTATTATTATTATTATTAATATTAATATTATTATGATAGTTTGTGTGGCAGTTAAGGCATCGGGCTAGAAACTACAGGAAATTATAAGTTTTAGTGCTGCCTAAGGTAGTGCAGTGGTTAGACCACCTGCAAGAAAAAGCTGAATAAAAAAGATTTCAGAAAGCGCTTAACGCAGATGAAGAGAAGAAGTCAGAGATGGGTCCTTTTGGGGTGGCTCATTAGTTCGGCAGTTCCAATCTCACCAGGCTCAAGGTGGGTAAAATGAGGATCCAGATTGTTGGGGGCAATATGCTGACTCTGTAAACTGCATGGAGTGGGCTGTAAAGCACCACGATGTGGTATATAAGTCTAAGTGCTATTGGTATTGCTGAGGCACAAAGCCATCTGGGTAACAATGGGCCAGTCATTTCATCTTAGCCAAAGAAAAAAGAAGGTAATGACAAACCACTTTCAAGAAAAACTTTGCCAAGAAAACTGCAACAACTAGATCAGGCATTTGCAGAGTCAAAAACTGACTTTTAGGCACATGCGTCCACACACCTGCACATATATTATAGAATATCCTTAGCTCAGTTAAACTGTGAAGTTCTTCGTTGCTGAGTGTGGTTATTTGCTTGCAGACATTTCATGACCTAACCCTGTAACATCATCAGTGCAAGTGAGTGTGAGGTTTGCTATCTGTTCATATGCAGTAGCTTGCTTGCCAGTTTTGGTGAGGGTATGGTTTCCTCCTTGTTGATTCCTTGATTGTATAGTTTTCTGTCTGATTGTTTCCTCTGGTGCTGATTCCTGCTGATCTGAATGTGGGCTGTCACAACCCATGGGAAGAGTCAACCACAGTTTCAACTGGGAAACTGTTAGCATCTTAGACCAAAGCAAATTCCAACATGGCTACAGAATTCCTGAAAACTAGGCATTCAGACAAATCAGCCATCAATACACCCGTAGAGAGAAACCACATTTACATCATTCAAAAGAGACAATAAAAAACCTAGGAAGGAAACAAAAGGATTACAAAATATCTCCTCCAGCAGCCTGACATGTATTCTGATACAAACTAATATTTTATTCTAAATCTTCATGCCACCTGTGAATTTAGTCTTAAAGGCTAAACATTCATTGGCATGGGGTAGAAAATATGCATTGCTTCAAAATCCATTTAAAAGCCAGGACCCTGCTATTGAGTTCCTTGAACTTCATGAATTCTCTGAGCCTTTTACTTTATTTTACTGAGGAACATAAAAGTGTAAGTCGAGGACTATCTGTATACTATAGGAAAACTTAGTGGAAAAGTCACTAGTTAAAAATAATTGACATGTTCTTGTGAAAGGATCCATTTCTAATGTGGGTGCCATATCCAGGAAATAAAACACCTAAAATAACTGAGTAGCTCTGTTATAATTTTCCTCAGTTATTTTAGGTGTTTTATTTCCTGGATATGGCACCCACATTAGTTCATTCGTTAATGACTCGTCTCTTAAAATAATTATATGAATCAGTACATAGTAGGAGACCAAGAAGGGAGATGTGATGACCTGGGGTGTGGCACAAAGGCAACATAGTCAAATAAGTAAGAAATGTCCCTTTAATACGTCCAACTTTGCCCCCAATGTCCAGGTTACCTTTGGCTGGAGAAAAACTTTCCCAGGAACAGTCTTTAAGTGGAGGAAATTCAGTTCAAAAACAAAGTACATACAAACTGTAACTAAAAATCCAAACAAACCACACTGCAGTAATTAACTTGACAGGGCAGGAGAAGGATTTGCAGACTTGAAAGCACAGGAAAACACACACAGTTGGGAAGATGCCAGGAATACAGATAAGCCTCGACGAAACCAGATAATTCATGATTTGTTCCCAACAACTTGCTGTGCACAGATTCCCTTTTTAAATACTGTGTTCCCAGCTACAGCTAATGTGGGGAATCAGGGCCCTTTCCTCCCCTGTAAGCCACGCAACTCACATTGCTCCCTTCTCCATTCTTCCCTGCGTGCCCTAGGATGAAGAGGGAGTGGGCCTGGGTCCTCCTCCGAACCCCTCTCCCTTACTCTACCTCTCCTCTGCTCTACCCAGCCGGCCCTTGCCCTTCCCCATTTTCTTCCACAGCCAACGAAGCCACACTCCCACTCCCTGTCAGCTGCTCGGCTTCCCCCTGCGAATCAGATTCCGACAGGGGCATGACTGGAGACCAAGACCATCTATGGTGGCCTGGGATTTTGATAGCCAGCTTTATATTGCAGATTGTTAACAAAGAGTCTCCTTGTAAGGTAAAGGTAAAGGTAAAGGTTCCTCTCACACATATGTGCTAGTCGTTTCTGACTCTAGGTGCGAGTGCTCATCTCCATTACAAAGCTGAAGAGCCAGAGCTGTCTGAAGATGTCTCCGTGGTTATGTGGCCAGAATGACTAAACAAAGAAGGAACATGGAATGTCTCCTTGTACTTGCTCCTTAATCAATGCATCACTGGTATTTCCAGGAGGTTCTAATGTAAGAATTCTATAAACATCATAGAATATATGGGTGAACTAAATAGCCCAGTTGTGAAGAGCAGTTACAATTCCCAGCTGGAG